AACTAAAGGGACCTCTGGTCCCTCTTAGAAAAAAGCAATGATAATTTTGAAGACATAATACTGAATTTCTCAATTCACTCTATGGAACTTCAAAATCTCACTGATTCATGCTATAAGTTCAATTCCAACCAAAAGAGCAATTTGGGCTGAAATTCCAATTCAAGCCAAAAATTGAGTTCTTCAAATCACAAACTCTGTGGAACTTTAAAATCTCATGTCACAAAACTTCTCACTTTAACTCATAATACTTGGCATTTTGAAGAAATAAAATTGATTCCTTTAATTCAGTTTTGGAGAGATTTTAAACTGAATTTAAAACAAAAATTTTAAAATTCCAAGTTTTTGTGTTAAACTCAATATAAATTAAAAACTTAAAATCACTAATTTTTTTCAGTTATTTTCAAAATTTGACTGTTCCTTCCTCATCCAGATACAAATCCCAATACTGGATGTTCAAGCACCAAATGAAGGGTAGATTTTCACTCTCAGGATCATCCCAAATTCAAAAAGACATGTTTATGTAGAGCCAGAGTTAGTGTCGTGTTTCAGACACATGGACGGACAGACAGAAATTGCCATTTATTTAGATGCACATAAGACAAGAAAGATGTAATCTGTAGCTTTTCTTTACTATATAATACTCAATGAATTATTATTTTTAATTATGGAAGAGAGAATTTAAAAACTCAATGCGATCTCAGATCTACCTATAAACTACTGTATTTGGCTGGAGATTCTTCATAGAAGACGTCAAACAGTAGAAATTAAATACTACCAGAAAACCTTGGCATTTCCTCCACTCAACATGTTCCCAACTTAAAGGTTCATCAGAAGATCAACTGAAACATCAAAACTTATGATTTTCTCACAATCATCAGGAAGCTAAAGTCATATAGGCATATCAGATCAGATGGATTTGCAAAGACAATCCTGCAGGGCACCATACTTGCAGGCAGTTAAAGAGGTAGACACAGGAAGAAGTGGAAAGAGATTGGACAGATCCGAGCATTAAAGAACTGCAAGACAGAAGAAAGGAGTTGGTCTAGTGTAAATTATCTGTGGTACCCCAACTAGTGCACTGGTTTATAGGACAGGTAAAAGGAAGTTAGAGTTGTCCAAGGAATAAACATTGAAGACATAACTAAATGTTCATCCAATACAAGGTCCAAGAGCCACTCAAGATAGAGAGTTATTGAATGAAAGTAAGAGGAGGAAGTGTAGATTATGAGGTTATATAGGATAGATAATGGTTGATTCTAGACAAGGTTTATTTATTCAAAGATAGTAAGCTTCAATTTTAATGATTCATAAGCAATGATAATTTAATTACTTTATTTTCTCCAGACTTTTAATCACACAGAGTGTGTCTGAAGTTATGCAAATCACAAACCTCAACTTGAATTTGCTTTGGAAAATTGTTATATTTTAAATAATTTTGACATCAAAACAAAGCTCAAGTTAAATTTTTTAGGTACTTTCAACAAGTTTTATTAAAGTTATTGGATTTATTATAAAAAACTGCAGGCTGAAGTTATTGTGCAGATTAAACTAATATTCAAAGTCCATTACTAAGTGGTAATTTGATATTTTAACACTTGTGCACATGTCTAGGATACAAAATAAATCTGTAATACAATAATCTAACCAACAATGGGCTTTCTTTAGAAAGAACAAATTCAGCCCATACTTCATGTGAAAATGTCTTGAATCCTTCAGCTCTGCTTACATTACAAAAAGACTAAAATTGTATGCAGATAAAAAAACAGCCTGCTTTGAACTGATAAGAATGCTACCTCAAAATCTTGTTCAAAGTTTATTCTTTGCTCAATTTCTTTTTAGAGTTTTTTTTTTATTTCACCACCTACTGCAACCAAGTATTTATCCATATCTCAAAAATATAGAAACTGGTAAAACATATTCTTGGCATGAATATTTTTTAACAAAATATCAGTGTTAAGCACAGATATCAAAGGAATGATCTTAATGTTTTCATTTATGTATAATGTGGAACGGCTGCCTAGGTAATAGATTTTTAATGTTCAAATGAATCACATTTTCTAACATTCACTAGTGAAAGAACCAAGGTCTATAACTAGCAAGTATATTGTCATATCAATATTTAAAAGTACATGATTTTAAAATAAAAGCAGCATAATAATTACTTTGTCAAATATTTGTTGATAGCAAAAAGTGAAATCATTTTTCTTATGGATGTTGCACACAAAGATGAAAAAGAATTACAGTTGAAAATGTCCAAAGCTTTCTTGGAACTTCTCCTTTGAACTGTTATGTTTCAGGTGACTCATTTTACAAAGTTCTTCAGGTAAATAATTCAAATGTATTGTCAAAGCTGAAAAAAGTTACTAATAAAATTTGGAAATCTAAATTTATATTTATTGGAAAATTGATTTCTAATACTGAAATTAAGACACAAAACTAACACCATTCCATTTACTGTATATACTCATGTATAAGCAGATGTCATGTTTAGTGCAACCAATGAATTTTTTTTTTGCATGTATTTTATCCATCCCACCCCGAAAAAATTTACTTGTATATAGTGCAACTGGTTAGCAAAAATGCATAATTTTTAATCTCTTCAAAAAAAATTACCTGTGTATAGTGACCCCCCCCCACTATTTTTGTGTAAAATCTGATCATAAAAACTTGCACTATACTCAAGTATATACAATACTTTAAAATTCTCTTGTAAAAGTTTCAAACTTTTATTAATATAAAACTAAATACTCAAGTCTATTTCTATAATCAGTTCAACCTTTTTTAATTCATTTTTTTTAAGAATTAACAAAAAAGGTGCAAAGATTTACTTAAATTTGGGAGTTCCAAATTCATTTTTGTGAAGCAAAATGAAGTTATTTATTAATAACTTATTATATAACAAAAAAGTTCAATATAACAACTAAAAAATAAAAATAAAAAAAATTATCAAAATTGGTTTTATTTCCAAGGTATGTTTTTTTTTGTTTTCATTTTTTTTTGTTTTGTGACATCAAGATGAAAATCTGTTCAACAGCAAATGAATAACAAATGAAATACAACTGAAAAAAAAAAAAAAGATTTGGGTGGGGGAGACATTAAAAAATAAAGATTCAGCAGGTCACTGGTACATATAGGAACTGTGACTTTGAAAGCTCAAAAAACACTTTCAAAAAGAAATCAAAATTTACAAGTAAACCAACTGAACAAAACATTTTCAAAATATATCAACTGAAATTGAAGACATCTGAGTGTTCAAAAAAAAAAAAAAAAAAAAGTTCAGAAACTACAAATAAAACTAAACTTCTATTTAAAAGTGCACAAAATATTAAAATTAAAATCTAAAATTAAGTTTTTTATTTACTACCAAATATATCAATTCTTTTCTATTTTTAATTTAACACTTCATTTAGATGAAATAAAAGTTAAACTGTACAGTGTATGCCAAACCAGCCCCAATTAAGATATTCTAACTTTATATAGAACAGACATTGGTAAGATGCTTAAAACTAAATATTGAAGATTTTATAATGAAATGAATGCAGTAGATATGTGCCAAGAAAAAAAAAATCTCAGTCTAGATGTAACACTCAAACAAAAGCTTATCATTTAAAAATCCATTCACACAAACATTCTCGTTATTTTCATTACTTAGTTTCAACTGGTATAGTCTTCATATTTTTGAGTCATTAAATGCATCTGGGGTGCAAATTTTAGCATAAAATCTTTGAATGATAATAAAGTCACATCATATAAGTATAGACTAATAAACTAAGAATGTTTAATTTAACATAAGTGCCTTTCACTTTTAATAAGTCACAGCAACTGTCCATCATAACATTTACAGTTGAATTATGAATTAACAGATTACTTCAACTCTTTCAAAACAAATTGTCTCACCTTTGTTTTCTTTTACTCTAGATTACTATCTTTGCTTTCACAATATTTTCAACAATAAGCTGACAGATACAAGTTTGATTAATCTTTTAGTATGTAATTATAAATGAAAGATGTGAAAACTAAAATCAGATTTGAGAATAATGATGGTTAAAAAAATTTCTTTTATACCTGAGTTTTGTAATTTTCCATTATATTCAGAAGAAAACAAAGATAATATTTTTCTATAGTTATATGATATGGAATTATTAAAAATTTGGTAAGATGAATGCTTGAAATGTACTTAATTTCTAAAGTGAAATATTACTTCAATTTAGTAACAGCTGTAACAAGAGAAGAAAGTTATAGCTGTAAAAGTATATGTCAAACAACCAGCATACCAAATAAAATTATATATATATATATATATAAGAAATAAGTGGATTTTATAATTATATGAATTAGCTGACTGTACCAGTTCACAAATTGAAAATAAGTGCTGTTAAGGCTGGAGAGAAGCTTACCATTTTGATACCAACATGGTTGGCAATAGAACCAGTTGAACCACATTGATTTTCCAAGGAAATATTTAAAAATATATCTAGCTGACCATTGGCGAGTCAATGTGTTAGAAAAGCAGGCTTCAATTTTTAGCCAAATATGCACAAAAAAGTTAAATAAATAAATGAAATAAAATTAAAAAAGAAAAATTATATATGTGTATCAAAAATCAGAAAGTTTATGAATGTAAATATATCATCTTGGTGTGGAAATTTAAGTACTAACAGATTACTGCTTGAAACAGTTCACAATGAATGGATGGTTTTCCAGAAAAACTGTCAGGATTGAAGAAATGAATGTCATTTCGATTTTATCAAAGCTGATGAAACAGAAATGATGTCACAGAAGAAAATAACTTTCTTCTCTTGTTACAGCTGGGAAAGCCAGGTATTTGCACATTCCATTTTGTACCTATCAAAAATTGTATGTAAAAAAAAAAAAAAAAAAAAAAAGTATGGAATGTCTTTTTTCATGGAAATTGTCCAATCTGTGAAGGAGGAAAAAAAAATTCAGAGTTCATAATATATTCCCCACTCCCCATCCCAAATCCCCAAATTTTAATATTCTTATAAATCATTATAGACTTGCTGTTTTGACTCTTGTTCCAATATCTTCTTTATCACTGAAAAGAGAAAAAAAAAATAATGCAGTTTCAATAGAAATAAGAGTTAAGAAATTAATCAAATTTGCACTTGTTTTGCTTTTATATATTTAAACTGTTCAGCTAGAAAGGTTTTCAAATAGTGATGTTTTTTTCCACAATTCAAAATAGTGAAGAGAGACAGGAGCAAAGCCAAAGAAAAATGAACCTTTATTTGCAGGAATATCAAGGTTTCAAATTCTATAATTAGAACTGATGTTTTCAATGTATATCTTAAATTGCATATTTATATGTAATAATGATTCCTATTAGAAATAAAATATCAGTTACAATAAAAAAATAACTATCTGGTTACCTAAAATATTTTTGAAGAAATTTATATTTGTAGAACCAATATAATTTTTTCTCCTTCTCTCAAATATATACAACTCATACAAAGCACTTAAGGATTAAAATTATTAAAGTATTAATTATGTTTATAGTTATATACAGAGACACTTCTGTAGAGAAATATGAATTTGGTTATACAGATGAGATAAGGCAGCCTTTCTTAACCTATACAGAAATCAGAAAACCTTGGAACCAACATAATGAGTTTGAGTGAATAGATGAACAAGAACAAAAGAGGAGAAGGTTACATTTAGCAACAAAAAGCAAAAAGCTGTGGAAAACCATGATTACCAATATCCTGAAAGGACATGGCACATTAAAAAAAAAGTTCTTCAAATCAAACATTTCATTTAGCAGTGTGGTTGGTCATATCTAAAATCTTTTAATTTTTTATTTTAACATGTTAAAACATAATAGAAACAGAATTCATTCAAAATTTAAGTTATTCACAGAGTGAGTAGTGATTGACAAGTTTTTACCTGAAATTGAGTATTAAATTACATGCAAAATAGATATACATTGCCTGAAGAAAATAGAATCATGATTGTTGGTTTATAAAGTTTTCCTATATAATGAAAAGTTTTAAAAGGTGTGTGTGTGTGTGTGTGTGTATATATATATATATCTATCAAACAGTCATTCTCATCACACTTTTTTTATGGGTCAGAATCATGGACACCATACAGGATACACATCAATCAACTTGATGCTTTTCATAAATGCTGTCTTCATTCAATATGCAGTTATACATGGCAGGACAAAATCTCTAACCCTGATCTTTTTATCAAATGTGGCATCAGTGGTATCGAATCCTTTCTGATGCAATCACAGTTCAGATGGGCAGGTCATGTCATCAGAATGAGTGGTGATTGGATGCCAAAAATCCTCATGTATAGCTAATTTTTTCATGGTAAGCGTAATGTAGGCCGTCTTTGGTTATGCTTCAAGGACAAACTTAAACACAATTTAAATACTGTAATAAATCTCTATAGAGGAGTTTGAACTCACTGTTGAAAACTGACCAAACTGGAGAAACACCTGCTACTGAGGTATAACTAACTTCGAAAAGAATCATCTCATCCATCTGAGAAAATTAAGAACCAATACTAAATCTTGGGCTAATACATCAGCCCATATGACCATCAACCCTTTAAGCATGTCTCCCGCGTGGACTTGTTTGCAAATCCCACGCAGGATTATTGTCTCATATGAAACAAACATAGAAACTGAACTGAAAGACACTCATACATCGAAAACAATGGGAGTCCCTAATAATCGACTCTCCCATCGAGATTCGACGTATGAGAGTCAAGCAGATCAGTTTCCAGGAAACCGACAACCCAACACACGAGATTTGATTATAGTGGTGAAGGCCTCATGCAGGACCATCCACACTTTTTGAAGGGACGAATACAGAGACCTGGTGCACCGAATGCCACAAGGTTTTTGAATTCAGAGTTGTCCTTCTCCTAGACCAGTTGCCATCCAAGGCTATAGAACCCAGTCTGTACTGCTATTTTACCCATAGCTGGAGGGAGAGGAAGAGGATTCATACCTTTCCCAAGGGTATTAGCACGTAAGTGAATGTAATGAATTCGACTGGAATTTGAACTCGGCTCTGCAATTCCTCAATCCAAGCTGCTATCCATTACTCCACCGTGCCTCCTCTCTCATATATATATATATAAAAAGTAACCAAAATTTAAGTCTTCTAAGTCAATAAAGAAGTTGTTTTTTATGACATTTATCAGAAACAGAACAGGCAGGAAAAATAATAAATAAACCACCTACTCTCTTTTTCTTCATCAGACAATGTTTTCTTTGGAAAGTCCACATCAAAAGTTATGTATAAAGCTCCACGTTTATGGATATTTTCATAATTAGGCATTCCTTCATTATTTTTTCTCATTCGTGCTCCTGGACGTGTAATTTTTTCTCTTTTAACATGAACCTGTATAAAACCAGAAAAAACAATTCAAGAAACAATTGGAGAAATGTGAGGACCACTTATATAGAATTCATTCATGTACAAATACAAAAATCTATGAAATTTGAAATAACTGGCAAAAATAGAGAAAATTTGTAAAATCTTATAAAATAAGTATCATTATTTTTATAAGCTAAAGCAGATCCCAATTTCTGCAGAATTAAGGATTAAAAAAATCTTTGCAGAAATGTAAAGGAATTAGTGGCCAAGCTAAACATGGTACACAAAAACTAGCCTGACATTTTCCTTCAAAGTACAAGATCCATTCAGAGTTTAAAAATAAGGAGCTGTTTTTGTCTATATTAGCAAAATGAAGGTCTTCAGATTATAATTACCAATATTACTGAGTAGCATCTAATATGTGTCTTAGTATGTAAATTCATGAAGCCACAAAGACAACTAAGATTCAGTTATAGATTAATAAATTCTATTTTTTCTTCTCTTTAAGAATTTTAAATTATTGTGCATTACAAATCTGTATTGCACTTTTGTATTTTAAAATTAAATCAATGTAAATCTTTTTGATTTCAAATACAATATTGTTGCATTTTATCACAAGCTAATACATTCTATAATTGTTAAAATAAACAGTGAATAAAAAAAAGTTAACCTCCAATAAATTAATATGGTATGAATAATTGATTTATTTGTTTAATGGCATATTCTCTTATGGGTCATTTAATGCCAAAATTTTCTTAGGGAGCTTTAAAGTAATAAAAATATGATATATGTTATTCTGCTTTCTTTTTTGACTACATGGTAGATGATACTTTTGTGCATATACATGTTTGACATAATGTGTGGACATAATTGCTAAATGTGTATTTTATATTGTAGTTTTGCTGAAGTTATATTTTGAAATACGGTTTGATTTCTCTAAGAAATTGAAGAATATTATATGGATTAATGTCATGAAAGAGTTCTTTCAAATTGGTTGTTTAGTTGATTTTGTTCAGTGGTATATCAACCTCCATGAGTGATTTAATACGAAATCTAAATATTTTGAATGCCTTCAACTGCAGATAAAATGTATTGTTTAAAAATTTTTTTTTTTTTTTAATATAAAAATGTATTGCTGGTATTTTTACACATTCATAGTATTTTGTTTTTTTTTAGAGGTTCATTATTTGCTCATAACAGACCCTAACAGGTGCTATTACCCTGGGTCAAGGTGAACCTGGGAACAGCAATTAAGAGGTGGCTTAACATTCTCCAAAACCCCCAATTTCTCAATCAAAGGCCTTGCTGTTAGATACAGTTTATTGTCATACTCAGGACTAAATAATTGAATGAGTGTAGCTCTATGAATACAGAGTTGAATGTGTAGCTGTTAAGCCTCATGGGGCAAATCAGTAATACATGTCAGGATACAAGATAAAAGTTCATGTTTAGTTTTTTTTAGTTTTTTATTTGAGTTACTGCCAACCTCAAAATTTGAATGATGTATTGTATTGACAAAGCATTGTGATAAAAAGCATAAGATGAAAGAAAAACCAGTCAAAAATGAATAGTGGAAATAGATTATCTGAATTCTTAAATTAAGCAACAATTTCTTTAAAGTTTTGGTTTATATTTTTTAACTGTTAGAAAGACTTAAACCATCTTACCTTGTGACCATCCAAATGTATTATATCCATTTCAAAACCTATTAAAGCATCTGTCAAACTGATAGTTACATTTGTGTAGAGATCATCATCTCGCCTTTCAAATATAGGATGTCTAAAAAATAAAGAATTATCTAAAAATCTGCATAATGACTTGTTATTTTAAATATACTTTTAAAGTTTGGAATCATGTAATTTTACAAAAAAAAAAAAAAAAAGTAATTTACATGTAGTTTACAAAAAAAAGGGTTGCAAATGCTTTTGTTTCCTCAAATGTTGGCTTTTCTAGTTAATAAAACTTTTCTATCCAGCAACCAAATAGCTTAATCATATCAAATATCCACTAAACACAACTCATTTTCAATTAATAATATAAAAATCAATTTACATGTTTTTTTTTTTTTTAATTATTTTTGCATAACATTTTTTGACAAAGAAAAAACAAAATTTTGAATTAGAATATCATCATTTAAGAAATTCAGCATTTACTTACTTTGCTTGTTTTATTCTAAATTTGAGATCACCAGGCTCACCATCAATATGTGGTTCACCTGTAAATAGTAAAATAATACAAGTAAAATCTATATTACTGAAAAGATGTAATATTTCTTGAAAAATATTTCAGGCAAAATAAATGCTCCCACATCAATTATCAAAATAAGTGTACAGTGGAGTAATGGATAGTGGCTTGGAGTGAGGAATCTGAGAGCGGAGTTCAAATTTCAGTCAAATCCATTACATTCACTTTTGTGCTAATACTCTTGGGAAAAGTATAAATCTTCTTTTTCTCCCCCTAACTATGAATAAATAGGACAGACCAGGTTTTATAGCCTTGAATGGCAACTGGTCTACCACAGAAAGAAATGGCAACCTATTGTGGAGAAAAATGTCTCTTCAGTCATGCATTGAAACATACATGATCATCTAAGTGTGTATCACGGATGGCACATAACTGACTGATTTATTTCATTGGTGAAACATTTCCAGTATTAAATAAAATTAACAAATATCTGTAAAATATCTACATTAAATCTTAAGTATTTAGTAAATGTTAATGTTTAAAGATTTGTGTCTTGCTGTTCATGTAAATTAAAATATGAATAATTGGCTGATGCAAGGTGTTTTTGATTGACATCAGAAGATTCTAGCTACAATAAAATCAATTCTAATGAAAAATATATAAATGTTTACATGCATGTACTTTTAGGTTAAAATATAACAATTAACATAAAATATTAACAATGGGTGTCAATCTGTGGACAGTGCAGAAGATTCAGAAAGAGTTGGATGATATATCCAATCAACCATCAAGGTATTTGGAGTGATCACTATCAATGGCGACGTTATGCCTCCATTCATATTCCCACTGGGACTCAACATGGTGACATGCATCATGCCTTGAAGAGGTAGTGCTGCCCTGGGTCAAGAGGGTGGCTGCTAGAAGACCCCATGTCTGGCAACAGGACACTGCACCATGCCACATAAGCAGAAGAACCCAATCATGGCTGTCAGACAATTTCTGCAACCACATCATCCCTTACATCTGGCCACCTAACTCCCCAGACTACAATCCCCTTGATTATTGTGTGGAGCACAGTTGAGAGAGCAACCAACAAAACTCCTTGTAACACCAAAGATGAACTGAAGGCAAAGATTATGGCAGCTTTCACCAACTTAAACAAGGAGGCTGACCAGAAGAGTTGTAGGAGATTCCAAAGTTGTCTGGAGGCCATGGTGGAAGCCAATGGCAATTTTATTGGCTAAATTGAATCTTTAGTATTTTAAGATATTTTTGTGTAATTTTGGTAAATATATCTGTTAAAATGAGATGCCAGTGTTATTTTCATTTTTTTGTAATTTAGACAACAGTTTAACTATTTACTCTATTTACATTGTTTGGACTGTTGTCCTCATCTTTATTGTTACATTCAGGAATTTTTGGCCATTGTACACTCCAACCTTCTTTAGGTGATATGTGTTGGAATTTTGAACCAAAAAGTGGCTTGACCAAAAGAGTTCGGAGTTCAAGCCCTGGCTTCAACAGAGATAATAAAAACTTGGGGTGTTATAAAGACGAATTAACTAACACTGAGATATCCAAGGGCTTGCTACCCCAGTGGACTAAATAATAGACTTGGTTTGAAATTCCAACAAATATCACATGAAGAAGGCCAGAGCATACAATGGCCAAAATGTTGTGACTGTGACAGTAAAGATGAGGACAACAGTCTGAACTATGTAAATAAAATATTATCAGGTTTATAAATTTTACCTCAATATATTTATATATAATATGCAAGTCTGGTATATCAATACCAACAAAAGTTGTTATTCCCTATACTTCCTAAAGAAGAAATTTTCTTTGAGGTTAAAGAATTATTAAAAAGTTAAAATCTTAAAATTACCTTCTGCAATAAAGGGGTACTCATGACCATCTCTCATACCAGCTTCAATTTCTACTTCTAGAATTTTCTCTTCAGGGACAAATCTGAAAAGAACAGAGTTGACATTTTGTGAAAGATAGTAACCTATAAAAGTTTCTATTAGACACTAGCATGCAACAGACATATAACTAGATAGCCAGACCCAGTCATGGGACTGACAATGATGAAGGGAGAACAAAAAAAAAAAAAAATTAATACTTCTGCTAATTAAAGCAAAATAAAGAAAATTTTATAAGATAGCTGGAAGCAAAATGCCAATTTATCTATTAATCCAATGTAATAATTAGTACGTTTTACAGAATAGTTTAATACAAACTTGAATTCAATATGAATTTAGGAAATTAACCTAAAATATTCTTTTAGGTAAGAAAATTTTTTGAATTTGAACATTTTAAAAATTTTATTTTCAAAGTAGTTCAAAGTATGATTGAATATACATTTCTAGCTAATTAAGGTCCAAACCAAATAAGTACCAGGAGTACATTTCTTTAAATTAATAAAATACATAAATAGGATATTTTTTTTTTTAAACAAAGGTTTGCTTTTCCAAATGACTGCAATAATCAAGAACAGAGGAAACCTAATATTTACAAGTGAATGTTGCTTAGTTTGGAAGATTTTTGGAGATGATGACATCCTATAATACTTTTGGTTAATATATTAATCCAAACATTTTCATGAATACATGTGTTCAAGTAAACGACCAGTTTTTTTTCATTTATTTTTAGTAGTGTGAATTACATCCACTAACCTGCACTTTTGGGAATGCAGATTCGACCCCGGTTGGAGTGTATATTTTCCTTTAAGTCTCTTGAATATACAGGCCAATAGATATAATTAATAATGTTTAAGATAAGTAGAAATAAGCAGGGTGTCTACTCAAACATACCCACAAAAATAATGTTTGGAATAATAAAAAATAATGTCGGATTAAAAATAAAATCCATCAACTCTTTAGAAATCTCTCACATCTTTAAGATGACATGGTATCAATTTAATGTATAATGAATTGGGCTCAAAGCAAAACTTCATTTCATTTTGGAATTAGTGCAATTTTACTATATATTTTTTATGCAAATTAATGAAATTTTTTAATCCAGCATTATCATAAAATATATAAGCTTTAAAAGTTGACACAAATTTGTAGTCCTTACTTAATATTTGGACATTCATCACAAACATGCTGCTGAGTCATCTGAAAACGGCCTGGTCCTAACTGAGTAGTGATCATCTCTGTTCGACAATTGCACTTTCGTTTTCCTTTTGCAGGTTTTGCAACTGGTTTGTACCTAATAACCTGAAAACATCAAAATCAAATATTAAAAGAAAAAAAAAAAGAAAGGGATTTATTTTTAGATAGTTATACTTGATTAGCACAAGAATGATTTTTTATGCATTTCTTCAAACAGCTATGTACTCTGCTAAACATCAACTTTAGAAAAGTTTAGAAAATTACTGATACCTATAACACTATGATATAGCAGCCATTACAAGTGGTAACCAAAAATGTATAGAGTATGGGCCCTAGTTTTTAACGAATTAATAATCAACAATTCTGTACTTAAATTTACTGGCTAGCTGTCTGTTTTAACCATGAAGTAAAAAATAATATAAAGTACATACAACTGGAATTATTTACAGCTCTTCCAAGAGTTTAGTTAAACACATGTATTTTAACAGGCAGAGTTCAGATTTTGGGTAAGAGCCATGAGAAATCATTTATAAACTAGCTCGTATGTGACAAATACAAATAAAAAAGACTGGAGTTCACTAATATCTAATGGTAAACATATTCTAAGAAATGACAACAACCAACGCAAAGAACTTACATGATACAAAGACACATGACACTAACTAATCACATAGCATTGTTACTCAGTAGAAATGTCCTTATTTGTACCAGACATTTTTACAACACTATTTTAAATATCTCAATTCTTCTTGTTCCACCCTTAAATAGCACAACTGTTATACCCTGCCAATACCTCATTGTAACCCCACTTGTCAATCATGGTCAATGGTAATCAATAATGTCGCCCCATGAGTCTATCGTCATCAACAGTAACCAATAATGTCACCCCATGAGTCGATTGTAGTCAACAATAACCAATAATGTCACCCCATGAGTCGATTGTAGTCAACAATAACCAATAATGTCACCCCACAAGTTGATCCTCATCAACGGCCAGCAATAATGTAGCCCTATACCTCACACTGGTCTTCAAGTTCCTTCAGACCACTGGTTACCATCTAGCCAACTCTTCACATGTTAATGCATAACTTGTTTGTCATTGGTATTGTGATGGTAAGCATGGTTCCACTTGACTTAGCTGGCATTTGTTTGTTCACAACCATTCACTCCTCTGCCATGTTGTGTTTTTTGATCTCAGCGGATGAAAAGATCACTGGTGAAGCAAACTGAAGTGTAGGCAGTTCAAAAGCTGGGCGATACACAAAAATAAAAATCCTTTAGAATAAAGAATTAACTCTGTTTGAGAATGTAACAATGATTTGGTTTATATATGATTTGTTATATATAGCGGTTTTAACTCCACTTGTTATTATAATCAAATGACACTGGGATTCCTCTTGGAGTCTGCAGCTTGTTTTTGTAGTAACTAAAATTTCTAAGTCCTCAGAGCTGGCACAAAGGTCTTAGTCAGGAAGTCTCAGAGTGAACATTGTGGATTCCAGTAGCAGTGGTGTGTGTGTGTGTGGTGGGGGGACTCTAAGTTGTCCAAACCTCCAACTTATATACAAGTCCTGTGTCCAGCAAGGGCGGGGTTGACTTGGGTCAGGGTTCGGTTGTCTTTTTCCTTTAGTATCAACCTCTTTCTAAAATTCCATATTCTCAAAATATATTTGCTCAAGTGGTTTTTCAAATTTGGGTTTGTCCAGCCCCCTTTTGAGAATGGTCAGAGGAATCAAGTCGCCTCTTAACTCCAACTCCTTTCAGGTCCCATCCCACACCATCACTCCATATACGAGGTGCTAATCTCTTCCTTTTCCCACTTTCTCAGCAGCTAACCTCAACCCATTCTCTATGGGTACTTTGAACTAAGTAACATTTTTAAGTGATTAAAAATCATTTTATCTTAGAAGTAAAAAAAAAAAAAAAAGTTTGTGCAAAAAGATCTTTGTTAGATGACAAATCTTCCTATTTTATGGGCCAGTGAAGATAAGGTAAATGGGTTTCATTAAAGTATATGCTGTCAATATAGTTTACTTGAACATAGAGCTAACATTACTTGCAAAGTCTAACAACAATTAGCTATTATATATAATTTATACTTAAAAGAAAAAATTGCCATGTGTCTTCAAGATATAGGTGATCATGAAGGACTTTCCACATTACTTTTGAATTGCCACACATTCTTGGGAAAGTTAATGGAGTAGTTTCCAAGTATCTTAACAGTTTGGAATTTGACATTTTCTTTCTGACTGGTTGTTAACCTAGGCTGTAGAGCCTAGTCTACCCTATTATTTAACCCATAACTGAAAGGACAAACAGATTTATGCTTCCCAAGAGCATTTGTGCAAAAGTGAACAGAACTAGGCTTAAATTTGAACTCAGTCGGTTAATTTTTGAATTTAAGTTCATAAATAGTTCATAAAAACAGAGTAATATTATACAAAGGAAACCATTAGCATGTAAAATATTTACCTATAAATATTAAAAAAAAAAAAAAAAAAAAAACACCAAAGTTTAACACATGCATCTGTGGAAAGAAAAAGAAAAAAGAAAAAATGTTTCAAAAGGATGGAGTTTTCTCTTGACACCCTTATTACTGTATACACCACAGGTAAATTTTATTATTTTAAAAAAAGCTATGTTTACAATTTTAATATGACCCAAACATATGAATCTGGATATTATTTTTTTTTTTTACCTGCAGAATTGTCAACAAAAGTGTTAAACACTATTCAGTAAAATAATTTTATATTAGCAAGATTATAAAAGTACGTGAACTAAATCCAATGCAATATTTATTATTTATCATATTACAAAGAAATAACTGTCTCACAACTGGTCAGTTTCATTTCCAAAATGTAAACAAAGAAATTTCTAAAGAATTCATTTTTTATTCATTGATCAGACATTTTTGTCACTTAAAACATCTTAAACATTTACATTTCAGGCACAAAACTGAACAGTTATGAATGTTCGTTAATCACAACACTCTTTATAACCGAGTTGGTTAAAACATGGATTGAATGACAGTTTCTCCTGCAAAATAACTATGAAAATAATTTTTTTTTTTTTTCATAAAAATGTTTGAACTATAGATGAAGAAAATTTAAATAAACACATGACGAGCAACTGTAAATATAAATTTTGCAAAAGAATGCATTTTTCAGACATTTATCTGTATTTGTTCTTGACACAAATTCACTAAAATATATATAGCGAGCATCTGAATTTATATTTTTTTTCCTCAAAAATTAACAAAAATGTTAAACACTATAAATAAGCCAAGTTTAACAAACATACCTGCAAAAAGTGAGAGTATACAGTAATGGCAGTGTCAAGAGAAAAACAGTCCTTCTGACAAACCACTTTTTTTCTTTTTTTTTTTTTTTTTAAACTAAAAATCATTTGAAAAGAATACTTAAAATATGAGATAATGTGGTAAGATTTACCTCAACAAAGTTTCCTGAATAAAGTTCTTCTAGTGAGACTTCTAAATCCATTATTACATCACCTCCTCTGGCAATATCAGGAGTTTGTTCTTTAAAATTAAAGCCTCCAAAAAAGCTAGAAGAGGAAAAAATACAAGCTGATAATGGAATATTTGATAATGAAACAATTGATTATCCAAAATTAAAACCAACTTGTTTCCTTACTATTCAGTTCAACATTAAGACATACAAGGTGCGATGGGTAAATTGCCGCCATTTTATATTTTTAATTTTGTGCATGCATATTTATTTGTTTTTGTCAAATGCACAGGACAGTAGGGTCAGTTGGACACTGAAGAAAATAAGTACCATGACACAAAATGGTATGCTGTATTGATTGGCATTCACGTGGGAAGCTCCAATACGAACATTTCAGAGTGTTTGGGTGTCAAGCTGAAGATAGTGCAGAGGATTTAGAAAGAGCTTGATGATATATCCAGTCAATATCATGGTGTTTGGAGTGTTTACTAGTGATGGTGAAGTATATCTCCATTCATCTTCCCATAGGGCCTCAGAGTCAACATGATGACATGCATCATGCCTTGAAGAGGTAGTGCTGCCCTGGGTCAAGAGGGTGGCTGCTAAAAGACCTTATGTCTGGCAACAGGACTCTGCATCAGGCCACACAAGCAAGAGAACCCAATCATGGCTGTCAGACAATTTCTGCAACCACATTACCGCTTACATCTGGCCACCTAATTCCCCAGACTACAATACCCATAATAGACGAACAAAACTCCTTGTAACACCAAAGATAAAGTGAAGGCAAGGATTATGGCAACATTCACCAACTTATACATGGTGACTCTCCAGAAGAGTTGCAGGAGATTCCAGTCATCTGGAAGCTGTGGTTGAAGCCAATGGAGATTTTATTGAATTATTTATTTATTTATTCTTTAGTATTTCAAGATATTCTTATGTAATTTTGGTAAATATATCTGTTAAAATGAGATGTTAGTGTTATTTTCATTTCTGCATAATTTAAACAACAATTTATCCATCGTACTCCATATGCAAATAAACTGAATGTAAAAAAACAATTAGAGAGATACTGAAACCTGTTACACTGATTAAATTTCCATATTTTCTTGATCAGCAAATTAAAAGAAAAAAAAAAAGAAAGAAAAGCTGCATGCTTTTTTTTTTTTTACTGAGAAACAATTTAAAAATTTAAAGTTCAGGAAAGTATCTTACACTAACATGAAAAAAAAAAAATGTCTAAGTTATGTGGAATAACAATAATCCCCCAAATTCTGAAAAATTGTAGTAACTCTATACAATATATCTGCTTTGAATGATGCTGAAAAATTGAGAGAAAATATATTGCTTGAAAATGCCAGACACATCTACAATAATTTTTCATAAAAATTCTAAATTTTCAAAACTATCCAACAGTTTGTATAATTTGTCTGATGGAAAATTTACCAGCTCAACATCAATACTAAGGAAGATTTAATGTCATTATAACCAATAATGCGATTCAAGTCATGATCATTTATCTGATGTAGTAAGTACTTCAGCCAGTAAATTCTAATTGTATCTTTTTTGACTAAATCTGGAGATAATCTTATATATTAAACTTTAATGCAGTCTGTAAAATTCAAGCAAAAGAAATGGCAGGTAAAATGATAGGTAAAAAAAAAATAAACTCCTTAAATATAAACTTATTTACAAAGAAAATAGTTAACTGTTAAAGTGGATTTGTATTTGATGTTATGATCTTACTTGGAAAAAGGATCTCCACTCATATCTCTTTGTTCTAACCCTTCTTCTCCAAGACGATCATAAATTTTTCTTTTTTCTTGATCTGAAAGAACCTGAAAATAAAATTTTTTAAAAATTTAAAAAAATCATAAATTGATCAAAAACAATTGCTTTTATCTCAAAATCATATTTTTGTAAGACAAATAATAGATCATTTCTTTTACCTAAGTATAATTTATAGTTAGCTTATAAATTTTATCTTGAACAAAACTAATTTTGCAACAATTTATAAACCTGAGTAAATGAGTGATATAAAGTTTTTAAATTCAAAATAAAATAAATATATAAAAAAAATATCAGTGTGACATTTTCCTTATAATATTGAAATCTAATATTGAATGACTAGAAAATATTCTTTCAAGATACGAAACAATGACCTCTTTTCTAAAAAAAAAAAAAAAAAAATTTATTTAAATCATTGAAAATGCATAAATAATGAATATGCATGACTTTACTAAAAACTCATTGACAGCCAATTTAATTTTCACCAAGTGCACGATAGATGTAAACTAGCACTAAATTCGACCAATTGCAAATAAGTAAGTTTTATAGAGGCAATTTTAAAATTATGTAATCTCTGGACAATCAATAAACATTTTTTTTTCTTTCATCCAGAGGTCCTTCATGCTTAAGTTTGTTTTTTTTAGAAGATAATAGTAAGCAAGATTTTAATATATTCTTTTAAGTAAACTATTTCACTTAAACATAGTACAAGTGCTAAAAGAAAAAAAGTTGTCTAAAACAGTATCAAAAGTTTTTATCTCTCTCTTTAATAAAGTCAACTGTTCAAATCTCTCTATTCTGAAATGTAAATTACTAAATAAAGAAAGATAACAATTTTAACCAAAGAAAGAAAAAGAAAACATTAGTTTGGAGTTTGGATTTTTCAACATAAAAATGAAAAAAAAAAAATTATTTTGAATTAAATTATTTCTAAATATTCAAAATAAATTTCTTATTTCTGCAATAAGAATAAATGCTGCATTAAGAAAGTAAAGTGTAATCTATAAGCATCAAGGATAGTGGCAACATTTTAAGAATTTTAACTGTCACCAGCATTAGGAATAAAAAAATAAATAAAACACTTTCAATCAAGTCAGTAACTTTAAGAAGATTAACAAAAAAAAAAAAAAAAAAAATCGGCTGACTGACAAAAATGGTAATGTAAGAGATTTATATAAAATTCTATATTAAATAATAGTTTTAAATGTTAACCTTTCTACATCATCAAGAACATTTCCATAAATCTTTTACCATTTTATGTTTTTCCAATTTAAGAAGTAAAATTTAAATATAAAAATACAAGCAACAAAATTTCTGAATTAGCTTCAACAGTGCCATACATGATACATGCTTAGGCGATCATGTATCTTTCAATGCATGACTGCCAAGGTAGATTTTTTCCTGCAGTAAGTTGCCATTTCTTTCTGCGGTAGACCAATTCCCATCGAAGGCTATAGAACCCAGTATGTCCTGCTATTTAGCCATAGCTGGGAGGAGAAGAAAAGGATTCATACCTTTCCCAAGGGTATTAGCACATAGGTGAATGTAATGGATTCAAGTAGAATTCGAACTTGGCGCTCTGATTTCACAATCCGAGCGACTATCTACTCCACCATAAAGGCTTCTTTAAAAAACATTGTTACCAAGGAGAAGATAACTCCCATTATAACAATATTATCCGGGTAATCAGCTGTCAAAATGAGAGAGAGAAACAGATAGATTGTATTTAAGCTTGACTACCATATATAGTGATTTAAATTTGTGAAGAATGATTAAAAAAAAAAAGATGGGGGAATTAATGCTTTTGGCAAGAGCTTCCACTGAACGATTTCATGGGCCATAACAGGGGATTATTTCCAGGGAGGTTTTGATTTGATTGACTTCTTAAGGAGAATTATATTGTTTCCACTTTCTCAAGCAATGTGAAATGGTTTTAGGGAGTTTAATGAGTGTTGGCATGGTTTATTTAGAGATTTTTTTAGTTAGGTGGTTCTTGCCTTTTTCATTATCTCTTTTGAGGTCATTGACAAGGAAGATCCTTCAGAAGAAGTGAGGTAGTTGGGTTGGAGATCTTTGATATCATCTGAGAGAGTTCTTGATTGATAAGATGTTGGTGATATGTTCTGCTCATTTTCTTGTTTTTCACTATTTTGTTTTACTAGAATGTTTGGGTAATTTGCAATGTAAGCCCTACGCTCAATTCTGGTGTAAATTTCCATGCTTAATTCGAAAATAACATTAAAAGTTTGCGGAAATCTACTGTTTCAGGGTTAACAACAATAAAAGTTCAGACTCATTCATGGTGTGGCTACAGCATGGCAGCCATTACTGGTATTGTTTACATATGTATGCATTGAGTAGTCATGCACCGAAGCTTCACTTGTCTTGATTAATGTGCACACAATGCACAAACTTTGCGCAAAATTTAAAAAGAGCATTATTTACAAAATAAAAAAAAAAATGCTAGAATGGAAATAATAGCAAGAACAAATTTAAGGTTCAAATTTTATTTTTTATTAAATTTTGGAGTTTTAAAAAGCATGATTATTAAGTACCGTAAAATAAGATTTCGTTATTATTACAGCTTTACTATAAAACAAAAAAGTTTCACTATAAAAAAAAAAAAAACACTTGTCATTGCTTTTCTAAATTACTTTAACAAATTTACCAAAAAAAAAAAAAAAAAAAAAAAAATTCAATACAAGGTTCACCTTCAAAAATGTCGAAAGACTTCTTTTGGTTTTGCGCAGTAATTGAGATGAGTAAGATCAATAAAAAGGCCATTAACTAAGTAAGCTCCTGTGCATGACTACTCGAGGCAAACATATGTAAATGACACCAGTAATGGTGGATGGACCAGACATGAATAAGTCTGGGCTTTTATTTTTGATAGTGCCAAAATGGTAGATTACTACAAACTTTTACTGTTATTTTCGAATTAAGCATGGAATATTTATACCATAAGGAAATTTTCATTAGAATTGAACGTGGGGCTTACACTGCAAATTATCCGAATGGTTTGTGTTTCAGATTTCTTTTATTAGTTTGTTTTTTGCAGGAATTAGCAGTAGTCAGGGTTTCAGTTTTTTCTTAATGATGTAGTGATTTTTTTATGAATGTTTACTAGTCATCCTAGTCCTAGTTTTAATAGCCTCTCAATGAGTGCTTTGTTTTTTATCCAGTTGATTGTCATTGATTTTAATTGATTTTTGCCCATTATCATACTTATTATAAAACCTAGGTTGTGTGTGTGTGTGTGTGTGTTCGTTTATATATTGGATCGGATTTCCTACATTTTTCAACCGATTTCAACTAAACTTCACAGGAGTACGTAAAATTACCTTGCGGTGGTTCTGACAGTGCCAAAAATTGGAAAAATACAATTGTTTTTGCACAAAATCAATTTGAATTAAGAGGCATCGCTGTCGCGAGAATGAAAGGAGGACAACTCATATCGAGTTATACTTATTATAAAACCCAGGTTGTTTGTGTGTGTGTGTGTGTGTGTGTGTGTGTGTGTTCGTTTATATATGGGATCAGATTTCCTACATTTTTCAACTGATTTCAACAAAACTTCATTTTTTTTGGCAGGTAGTGTTTCTTATTGTCTTGCACACTTTTTACTTTATTTTACATTCAGAATGCTTTAAAAATTCCATTTACAAGACAATTGTTTATAATAAAATTCTATTCAATCGGTAGACTCATAACTATTGAAAATAATGTTTTTGTTTGAGTTTGGGTTTGACCAATTCGTAAAAAAAAAAAAAAAACCCCAAAAAAAAACAATTAAGACATGTGTGTCGATCAACCTTAAACAATAATCTTTGTCAATTTTATTTTTCAGTTTTTATGATGGTCAATACTTGATCTATCTCTTACTGTTACATCCCCGAGCAACGCTGGGCTCTACTGCTAGTTTAAATATATTTCTGGTATGAGTTTCTAATTTTTGTGCCTCGACGCCAGGTAATCTCCATGAAAGTGCATTCAACAGCTTCACTACATTCTCCATCAGGATAGTTGAGGGTCTTTCTCTCCACATTTCTTACATGGGCAACCTATATATTTGGCTTCATAATGTCCATATTTCTGGTATTTGTTAGTATCATACAGGGGAGAATATGTATTTGTCCACTTTACATTTGAATTTCTTTTGGTATTTTTTATCTTAGGGAAAGGTCAAGGCAACTGCATTACATGATTATTTGAATTAGTTTGCCTTATTTAAGTTTATTCTTCTGAAGTCTATAACCTCTTGAAATTTTAAGGTTATTTTTTCATCTTACCCAGTGTGCAAAGTGATTGCTTGGAGTGTTTCACTATGCTCTTGTGTTTAGTGAAGATATCTTTTTTATTTGTATGTTCTGAAATGTGTATCTTCAACAATGTCTTTGTTTGTCATTTTCTTTTCCTACTTTGACAAGATCTAAAGGAGATGACTTTTTTTTTTCTATAAGGAATGGTAATAGAGTTCCTGCCTCCACCACCAATTCCAACAACAGAAATCTTGGGAACGCAAGTGAGCCTTGTTCATTTTCCATCTCTGAATCAGTTTTAATATGCAGTTGCTTTGGTGGTTTAGTTATTTTTCTTCAATAACTTCATTGTCTGTGCTCTCCACCTGCATTGGAGATCATTACTGATTTCAAGAGAGAAACCCCATTCACTTTGATATAACTCAGATACAGACCACATACACATACTCAGCAAACCATTAGTTATTCTATCCAATTTTAGTGTAACATTTTACAACTATGTCAAAGTTTTGAGTTTTCGAAATGACTGACCCTCAGTCACCACCTTTCAACACTAATATATATGTAAATATGCTCTAGTGTTGATCATGATGCTATTTATATTGAGAATGGTCAATTGGTTTAAAGTGTGTGTATGTGGGGAGGGGGGATTGGCATAACTAGCTGATTGGGCCTCTCCAACCATCCATCTAACTTAAGGATCAAAGTTTAGTGTTGCAGTACACATATCCAATCAGCCACCAGGTTCCAATCCTGAGAGATCACAGGTAGCCACTCACAGCTGACAGAGCAAGAAAAAAAACTTCCTGACCTATATTGAAAGAATTACAGTGAGAGAAGCAACAAAAATAGAGATCACACAAAGAGTAATGTTTTTTCTAAGCATTAACACAATATCAAATGGGTTTCATAATTTGAATTCGATTTTATCAGGATTTTAAAAAGGTAGTTTGTTGTGAAACCTTTCTTAGTAATGAGGAAACTACTTTTGAAAAGTGTTGGCATTGATAAGTCCCAGAAGGAAATAATCTTAAAACTGATATCTCATTAGATAAAGACTTTTATATGAATGTCATGCATGACACCAAACTCATTCAGAAATATCTAAACTATCACTGTATACAATTACTTTCACAGATCATTAGTAGAAAATGCCTCTGAGCAAGTGAAGCATGTAGATCATAGCAAGGACCATCCTTTTCCAAATCTTATGAACTGGCATTACAGAATCACAAAGAACTGTACCAGATAACAGAAACTACATCACTTGAAGACTAGCAACAGCTAAAATGGATATCACATGTAACTTGAAGAGAAAATAATGCCATGATCAAGATGTTCACATTCCACACTATTTTGAACAAAATGTTATGAAGGAAACCCCTATAAATACTGGAGAAAGATTTTATAAATTTCAACCTAAAGTAGCACTGGCTGCTCAGTTAAGGAATGTCAAATGTTTCGTTATAAGGAAATGGCTAATATAAAGATTAGAAAATAGGGTTGTAAGAACAGCATAATCCTGTTATCCTGTGCATGGCAGCCAATAGGTTAAGGAGACTACAATATAAAAATTTGAGTTTAACAATAAAACAAAATTCTCATTGTATTTGAAGAATCATTATTGCCTTAATTTATTTTGAAATCTGAAAATTTTAAATTGTATCATCTTTTTTTTTTGTTCAAATTGCTTCACTTGTTGGTTTTATTGTTAAACTCAAATTTTTTTTGTAAAAATCATAATGTCCTTTGATCCATTTGCCAATTTTGAAAAAGTTTTACATGATGGACAAAATCTATATATAAAATCTGAAATGTAAAATATTGAAATAAAAATTTATTTCTATAGCATAGGTATATGAAATCAATAAGGAAAAACAAATTATAAAGCTTACCTGAAAGCAAACAATTGAAACTATTATTAAATCAAGGTGTTGAACATTATAACAGAAAATCTGTTTCTTCAAAGAGAATATTTTTGTATAATGTTAAGTATGCTTTGAAAATACTTTTTATAAATATTTTACTTAAATCAATTAAATTTAAGACATTTTACCTTGTAGGCTGCACTAAGGTCTTGAAATAGTTCTGCAGCATTTGGATTGTCTGGATTCTTATCCGGGTGCATCTCTTTTGCTTTCTTTCGATAGATTTTCTTAATTTCATTAATTGTTGCCGATTTGTCAACACCAAGAATTTTATAAAAATCTCGGCTGAAAGAAAAAGAATTATCAAAGACAAAAGTGGGTATGGAGAGAGAAATGGTAGATGTTTCAGTGCACATTTATACAAAGTAATAAAATTTATAACTTTACAAAAAGCTAACATGTTATCATCTTTATATTATAATCAATATTTCTACTTAAAACTGTTTATGTGTCTAATAAATATATTCTGGAAAACAAGATGCAATATTTCAAGTAAATATAATTGACAAATATTTTGATAAATTATTGATTTTTAATACTCAATCAAAGCATTTGTTTGCATGTTTGACAAAAAGAAAATGAATGACAAACAATATAAACTGTCCTGTAGCAGCTGGAGAAAGAATAATAAGTGACAAACTACCACCATTAATTATAATAAAGAGTTTCAGAAAGAGATTATTTTTGAATATATTTAGGGGAAAGATAATCTGTAACACCTGGCACTGACTTAGTAGAGTTATTAAGAGAGCTAACTGGATGATTATATGTGAAAGAGTGCTGAAAAGTTCCCAAGCCAACCAAGAACTGCTTTAAAAAACCTTGTATTTGGTGTATATATATATATAACATTTTACATTTCAATTTTGAAGAAATAAGAAAATATAAATGGATGTGGACACATTTACAGTAGCTGTATGCAAAGCCAAACAATTTCCATTTGGAGAGTTCATTTGGTCCGTATCATTCAATAATATCCAACAACACTGAATTTGGAAACAAAATAAATGTTGTGAATAAGCAGAAAATGCATTTCCAGGTAGACAAACCAATTCAAACTTCCAAACTTACCTCAATAAACTTAATCCAACTACACCACACTTGTGAATACACAGTAAGAATAAAGTATTTCTTACAGGTTTTATGAATGGATATGAAATGGGATTAGTATTTAAATGCTTAAAAAGCAAGTATACTTCTATGGCCAAACTACATATACTGACAAGTGCTGACAGATGTGCATTGATTTTGACTTTAATCAGTCAAGCTGACAAATTAGAGATATTTCCCTCTATTTTTTTTTTTAAGAAAAAAATTAAGATAAGAAAGAGTAAAATTTGCATTATATTCAACTTAGGTAATATTCTTTCATTCATATCTAGCATAAATTACAATTAATGGTCAATTATATTTTCATCTTAGTTGGAAATTTTGACCAAACCAAATAAGACAATTCACATTATGAGCGTTTGCTTATATTTCATTTGCATCTATTTTATTTTCTAAACAAACCTTTTCAAATTGTTCCAGTATACACACCATTTTTTGTAAGACAAAAAGAAAACATCTTATAAAATTTCACAAATAAAGCCACAACATTTGAAAGATAATTTACAAATTTAGATCAATCTGAATCCCCACAAAGTAATTTTCTAGAATATCTTCATTTCCATTGTATACATAAGTAGATGTTTTATTTTTAAACTCAACATTCAAGCTAATGAAATATGATGTATAAATGTTAACTTTTCAGTTACACATTAAAAATAAATAGGACAGACTTTACAGGGTTAATACTTTTCTTGCCTTTCATCTAAAAATATCTCAGATCAGTTAACCAACAAAAGTTTCCTACACAACTTAAACTGAATGAAAAGTTTTAAATTATTCATTGTATTTTTTGCTTTACTAACCAGAAGAGTAGGTTTTGTAGATTGTCCACAAATACAAAAGACATGACAATCCACATAACTGGTCATTAACTAATAATGGGTTGACTGCTGCTCATTGGTGATACAGAGTTACAGGTTTGCATGAGCAATAGAAAGGGAAATTACCATATCTCCTTATAACACATCATTGTTTAAATTGGTTCAGTGTTTGTTAAATGCTATAAGCATGTTATAACAAGAATGCACATTTTTTTTTCTATATAAAGCAGTCAATATAAAATTGACTATTTTTATATATGCATTCTGTGGATTTATAATAGTGTATTATTAATAGATCTGTGGCAGACATAGATGTATTTTTTGAAATATACTTTTAGGTAGGTACCTCCACAAAAAACGAGATACCTAAGGTTTGAAATGAATTTTTTAAAATAAAAAAGAAATCTTTCTTGTAGCTTTTATTTTGGTTTTAATTTCAAGCTAATAGATTAAATTTAATATTTCCAATAAAAAAATACTTTGCTGCATTTCAAAAACTAATTTAAATTGACTGGAAGAAGTTTTTTTTTTTTTTGCTAAAATAGCTGATTAGCACCCTTTTTAGTAGTCTTTCATCAAATGTAATTCTCTTTATTAAAAAATCTTCCAAAAATAAAATATACTTTTGTGAAACTTTATTTGAGGAATATTAGCTAATTTAAAATATAATTAATCTGATTTGAAACAAATATTTACTTTAAGTTTAAAATATTGCTGAAATGCATTTTTTAATACAGCAGTAGCTGTTTACTTAAGCAATAGTCACAGGTTTGAGAGCTTGATGACAGTTCAATGTTTATCTAATGTTCTATGGGGCTGTAAAAAATAAATAATGTGAGCGCCTTTTATATATAATTTTTAAGTACTAAATTTTAAAAATCTAATGTTTTAATAAATTTTAGATACTTTCTAGCTTTAAATTTACTATAGTTATCACTTATTTTCTGGTAATGTCATGTATGATCATCCAGATCTACAAAAACCAGCACATCTATACACATCACAAAAAATTAATTCTTTTAAAAATATTGGAGCATGATGATTTGTACCTTTTTTGATTGGTAAATTTAGTTATGTAATATCATCTAAAAAGATGAAATTAATACAGAATTTTAAAAGATTTAAAACTTTATTCTAATTAAAAATTTAAAAAATGAAAACAATTCTTGTAAAAATTCATTACTCATTAAAAAATCCTTTTTTCTTAAGACAATAGTCTCCTTAGTAGATATGTTATTTATAAAAGTAATTAAAAGCTTTTCTAATAATGTCATATTTTTATTGCATTTTTATTTTATGATGATTCAGTGTAGATGAAAAGATGCTCCAAACCTAATGAAAACAAAGTTTTATTGTCAAAATCTTTATGTTTTAAGAGGAAGGATCAAAGTATTTTTTTGAATATTTAATGAAATTTTTTTTTTTTTTTACTCCTTTTTAGAACATTTGAAACTTTGATTAAGAAAAACTTGTTTTTCTTGCATCAGTAGATGTACTCGCTTGTAGCATAGCAAATTTTAGCCTCTTTTTTTGCAGTGACAGATATTAATTTGAAAATTCTTGCAAAAATCAAATTGTCAGATTTTAATAAAATTTTCAGGTCTTATTCACTAACGAATGAAATTTATTTTTGAAATTGTTTTTTATTAGAAAACCTTGGGAAATTTTTATTTTTTTTAACATGTATTTCACCCGCTTAATTTTATGAAAAGTTGAGAAATTCAACATAATTTTTAGTGACTATATTAGTTAAAAGCAAAATTTGAAGAATTTAAAATCATTGATTATTTATTCTTGTCCAAAGAAAAAAAAAAAAATTTGTCAATGAAAATGACTTTTTTTTTTTTTTTTTTTTTTTTCAAGATTTATTTTCATTTTTTTTACAATTTTAAATTGAATAATGTTTAAAGTTTTTAAATCTTTTAAAATTCAGTTTCAATGTGATAACTCTTAGGAAATATATAAAAAACTATATTTACTAATCCTAACTCTGTGCTACCAGGCTGTGGACAATGAGTTACCAGGCTGATCATATTCTACCAGACTGCGGAATCATGAGTTACCCGGCCGTGGACCATGTGCTACTGGGCCAAGGTTACCAGGTCCTGGACCATATACTGTGGGTTCATGAGTTACCAGGGAGTGGACCATATTCTACCGAGTCAGCGACCATATGGTTCAGGGGCGTGGGCCATGTGCTAACAGGCCATCAACATGTTCTACCAGGCATAGATATGTTCTACAGGATCATGAGTTACTGGGTCATGGACCACATTCTACTGGGCTGTGGGATCATGAATTACCAGGCAGTGGACCATGTGATACGGGACTGTGGACCATGTGCCACCTGATTTACTGGGCCATGGACCATGAGTTACCAGGCCAGTCATCATGAGTTACCCACATTACAATCTGACATCCCCAAATATTTTTAAAAAGAATTTCTATTTTTTTGTGTTTAAACAACCTAATTTTTCTATGTGAGCTCATACATGATATTATCATTAAAAGGTCAGGTATTTTAAGGGTTGTCTCCCCCCCCCCTCCCGGAAAAACCCTCATATAAAATTTATCGTCTGCTAGCAAATGTGCATTACCATACTTGTCAACATGTTAGGCTGTTGATAAATCGATTGACCCATGACCCCATGTTTATACAACATTTTATGCGATAAGTAATATTTGTTTCAAATCACATTCATTAATTTAACTTTAAATTTGCTAATTATCCTCAGATAACGTTTCAGAAATATATATTTTTGCAAGATTTTTAAAACCGAAAATTAACTTGTTTAAATGTATCAAAATGGTTAGTTTTATCGATTTTACTGAAAAAAAAAAAAAAAAAAAAAAAAGTCGATTCCGATCAATTATAATTTCTATTTGAAATACACCACAGAGTATTTTGCTTACGGGAAATAGTAAATTTTAGAATAAATCCTTTAGCTTTCAATTAAAAAGATAAATGAAAGCTTTTTCATTTAAAAGAAAAAAAAAAAGATCATTTTATAAACCTACGTATACCGAATTAGTGGCAGTGCCTACTCAAACATTTTGACAAGTAAAACTTTGTTTTTATCAAGTCATGGTATGCTCTTTTTAGCGAATATTTGGATTCATTTAATGATTTAAAGCACAGAAGGATGATAAACTCAACCTGCCTGAATTTAAGTAAAAAAAAAAAAAAAAAAAGTGATGCAATGCAATATCAACAACAAATTATAAAAAAATACTGAAAAGTAAAAACTTCCAAATCCCTGAAATGGGACGATATTTTTCTTAAATAGCAATGCTATAAAAAAAAAAAAAAAATTATGTGTAGGAAAATGATTACATTGTATATAAAAAAAATGAATACTAACAATTATTGTAACATACAGGAACTTGAATTAAAGAGCATAGTCATGACATCATACTTTAGCACAGAAAACTCATCCCAATCAAGTAGTATCAATTACTACTTCATACGTTGACAAATGAAAAAAGTTAACACTTGAGATCATCCTTTTTTTGCCACCTCATCAAATTCTCTAGAGACACTAGTAAAACTCCATAACATTTTTAATTTTAATTAAAAACTGTCAATACAAATTTATGATAGATAAATAATCAATAATCTGAATTAAATCATAAAGTAAAGTTGGATCTGAATCACAATGTTACAATCTGCGAGGTCATTAAAAATATAAATTTAAAGTTTATTTTTACGTTTAAACATACATACAGTATTGGTTAAAAAAAATGTAACTTAGGAATTTTACATCAAATGTGGTAACAGTGACTGTTACGCATGGTTTTTTTTTTCAAACTGAAAACACTGACTCAATTTGAACTTCTTCCGATGTATAATTTTTTTTACTTCAGTTGTTCCCGTCTGAGAAAAATCTTATGACATGTTAGTAGACAATAAGTCATGTATAGCGGAAATAATTCCTTTCACATAAAAATAAGAACTTGATAAAAAAAAAAAAAAAGAGAGTGAAAGTAGGCCAGAAAAAAAAAAAAAAAAAACATTTGAATTTGTTTATTTTCGTAATCTGTGATATATGTAATTTTAATTTTTAAAGATTTTTCTCGGTTTATTTTTTTAGCTAATATTGTTTTTAGGCGTAAATTATTAATCACACCATTGTAGTGAAATTCTAACCAAAGCAAAGCTAAAAAAAAAAAAAAAAAGCAATCTTATTTTTTTGTTGTTGTTCAATCCTAAGTTACTCCTAACTTTATAATTTAATTTTTTCTGCTAATTTCAACTATATTTCGTTACTAGCGTCATTATTTTACTTGAACACCACTTTCTTGATGAGTAGATGCTAGCTAATTATTTAAAAATCGATAATCAAAATTCAAAAATATAGATTTAGTACACACAAAAAGTAATAGTCAAATTGAAATACAAGAAGATCAAATTATTCAAATACAAGTAAGTTTCTGTTTACTTAACTTATGGATTGGGTTATTTGATTGTAACTTAGATTCAACAAAACATTGAATGCACTACAGTACACTACACATGAGAAACTCAGAAAACAGTTAAAGTTAAAATAAAATCCCTTATCAAATTGTCAATATAAGAAAAATGAAAATATTCCCAAATCTAGCTTAGGCTTAGCGGTATTCACTGGAACAAAGAGAAAACTAAGAAAGAGGAATCAATAATGAACCGAAACTTTCATGATTCGGTCGTTACCTTTGCATTCTTTTAAAATTTTTGAATACGTTAAATGTCTTTAATGCTAAAATTTAAAGAAAAAAGTTATCCACGTTTCTAAACAGAAAGCTTGTAAGAGGTGAAATGAGTGAGTGAAAGCAATTTTAAAACTGATTAAACATGTGATTTAAAAGACCCATATGAATTGTAAACACGCAATATATATTTCCCGTAAATAATTTGCATACGTAACTAGAAAGAAGTTATAGTCATTTTTATGTAAAAAAAAAAAAAAAGAAAAATGAAGCTAATGTAGGTAGAGAAAATGAATATTCGAAAGACGGAAGAAAAGAAGAAACTAACGGAAGAAGAAAGCTAACAGCCAATGACAGTTCAACACGCCGACCATGAGGAGAGTTGTCTGCTACTCGGATAGACTTCATGAAAAAAAGATTATCGGGGAGTTCTTAATAACCAAAACTTTATTATAAAAAATAATTTCTAGGCATAAAAAGTTGGTAATTTAAAAGAAGCTATCCCATTAAAGAAAAACCCGTAAGAAAGAGTAGCGTAAACTCCCCTCCTATTTCATCCCAAGTTACAGAAAAAAAATCAATTACGTTTTGTTGATCCACTGAGCGAAAATATTGTCAAATTTCGTACAATAACAATAAATGTAAATACACATGCTGATAGTTATTGCGAAAGGATAACGTTTTATTTTATAAGTAAAGACGGATCATATCAAAGAAGTTTACTTACAAATTATCATCAACTAAGTTTTTCGCGTGTTTAAAAAAAAAAGAAATAATCTTAAAAATTAGTCAAAAATAAACACGCAACCAATTAGGTAGCTGGACTCATGACAAATTTTACTACTAAAAATGTGTAATTGAGTGAATGATTATAAAACTATTATCTTTTTAAAATTTAACTTTACACACTTCCTTTGTTAGTTGGCACATTTTATTTCAGAGTAGGGTAGATTTAGAAAAAAAAAACAAAAAACCAAAAAAAAAACGACGAAGATGTGATTTTTTCCACACCGTTTGCCTCGTTAAATAACTCGAAAAATTTGATATGAAACTTTATTTTTTTTTTTTTTATAGATTCCCGTTCCCAACATACAAAAAAAAATGAAATTTTCTTTTCACTAAGTCTTAAAAAAATAATCGTTAATAACGTTTTTTCTTTTTCTTTTAAATACAAATGAACCAAAACTTACCATTTATCGCTTATTATTTTATTTATGATGTGTAAATATTAAAATAAGAACTGCAATTAACTGTTTCGACTTTTGAGTGTTTTGTTTCTTGGTAACTTGGAAGCAGGAATTGACACCAACTCTACATTCCTAACACTAAACACGAGTCAGGCTCACTTTCAAAAAAGTTAAGATAGTTGTCCACAAACAACCTCTGAAACCTTAAAACTATATGGCTAAGATAATGATATATCTGAAAAAGAAATGTCTTACCCGGCCGTAGCAACCAGAAACATGAGGAGGAGGTTAAAAAATAGTAAGACCATGTTCACATACGACGCCATCCTCACCGCTTATGTTACCGGTTCCGCAGTAAATAATCGCACGTCTTTCTTTCGCCCAATGTTATCACAAATAATACGAAAGTGACAAATGTCAAATCATCAAAACTCCTTAAAATGTTTAAAATACCAAAAACTTTGTTTTCATACCCGAGTAATATGATTTATTTTTATTTTTATCTAATTACTTCCGCTCGACAATTTATAACTAACATTTATTTTTTTTTATACGAAAGTGATACCAACACTTATAAAAGCTAAAAAGGACAAATCAGAGTTCACCATTACAGTAGAAATAAATTATAAAAAGAGATTTATCACTTGTAATATTAAATATCGCTTTTCATGTTAAAGCAAATTATTTAGCAATTTAAACTAACTTAAAAGAATGAAATAAACACTAATGAATTATTATATTATTATTATTATGAAGATAAAAAGTTTCAAGTATTTTTGTTCTCTTTTATTGAAATTAAAGATCAATTTCCTGAACCTAGGACTTTTAAAAATTATTCCCCCACAAAAAATTATTGGAAAGAAAAGGAAAATATAAAATAGAATATCAAATAAGGTTTTAATTTCTAAAATTTGAAAAAAATGATATTGAAAATAAACTCTTGATTCTCTGATTTTTTCATTTGAATATATTTCAAAGAATTGATTATTGCAAAATTGTAATACAAAATTAACAAATGAAAGATTCTTTTAATTTCATGTTAATACTGACATTTTGAGAGTATTCATAATGTATTGTTATACTCCATTGCAATTAGATCTCTTTCTGATTCATTTAGCATGCTAGCTGGATGTGAACGTCATGAAAGCAGAGAACAAAATAAAAAAAGTCATTTTCTATGCATAGGCTCCAAGCATCACATCCAGTCCACAAAGCAAGCTCCTGCAATTAAAACGACACTGGTCAATTGTGAATGAAAAAAGAAAATGTCCCTGGGGACTGCCATATATGCTTAAAAGCAGGTCTCCCATAATGACTACAAGCAGTTGCAGGCTGTCAGACCACAGGCTAACACGTAAGGCATTGCTGCTGCTGTCGCAACCATTACCTCTCCCAGGCCGACCATCCAGCCTCAAGACACCAACTGTCACAACTGAAAACATCTCAACACCAACACCACCCAGCTACAAGTCTTCCTTGTCACCAACGCCGTCACCTCAGCAAACCTGACTCACTACAGTGACTCCAACTCCACAAACAGCAACTCCAGCTTTGCCAGCAAGTGATTCTGAAAGCAGTGACTCCAACTATGCAAATATGCAACACTCTTGGGCTACCACCATCTCATAGAACACCAGCCAATCAGCTACACCAATCTCATCACCTCATTTAGACCACTGATGTCACCTCAGCACCAAACTCATTACTTCGGCAACCCACAACTGTCACCTCAGCATACTCAATTTGCTACAGGCATTCACTTTGAAATTGTCACCATCGCTCTGTCTCATAGAACAGGTCTACCAGCTACATCCTGCCACCTTGACAACCAATTCACCTTACCACGATTCAACCCACCACTATGACTTCAATTGATCAACACATGCAAATGTACATATCCTGTGACTTTTTTGTCCTTGGCCCATATGCATGTGTATGGGCATCTCAGTGTACCATTACAAAAATTAAGCTATAATTTATGCACATGCTAAAGAATAAGAAACACATCACATAATAGTTTGACTAGGTATATTTACTTGGCCTTCCCACTAAGGCAGGATGTGACACAAGGTCGTTTTAATGTGGGGAGCACCATACACATACATATGGGCCAAAGAAAAAAGTTTTTGTTCGACCCCTGCAATCATTGTTATGCTGGTATCAATATTACACTGACTTTACCTCTGTAATAAGGAAGATGCTACCACAATGCAGGAATCCCTCGGAAGGAGCACCTGCTCCCATCTAAAATGAAGAGAAAAATTTACTCCACTTCCAGCCAAAAGTTAACTCCTGTGCCAGGTAGAGGTAAAAAATGTTGATGCACTAGTTAGTACTTATTCCTTTGAACAATATCACATCTATCCCAGATTTCAATTTCCCTTACTGTTAATGGCCAAAGCCATGTCATTGATGCAATATACGGTTAACTCACAAGTAAGACATTTCATTTTTTTATATCTTCTAATCTTCTAATTCACCACATGAATAAACTATTGCTTAATTATAGTTTGTGTAAATATGCAGATCCTCAAATGTTATATACATCCTTGTTTTTATTCACTAATGTACATAATTATTACTATATTGTAGGTATAGTAATATATATGTATCACCCTATACTGATGGCCCAAGATACACTAATTGAAATTTAATAGTATATTTTGCTGATATAAGTAAACTTAATACAATTTGATTCTAAATAAAATGCGACCAATGAGACCACAAACTCGAATTGTAACTTTAAAGTAAAAAACATTTTTATTTTACCAAAATATACAATAATTTTGTGAAAAATGCAGGTAAATTTTAAAACAATTTATCTTTAGATGTCAATGGGAAAATTGAGCTAAGTGGTGAGTACAGATTCTCATAATGTTGTCATATTGCTGTTAAAGCAACTAGGTTTTCTGTCAATCCTCTTCAAATTTTCTCTTGATGTTAGTCAGAGAAGCCAGATTCAAACAATAATGTTGTTTGAAATTGAAGCAGAATAATTGAAGCTTTTCTGGCAATTGTTAGGTACTGTATTGAAATTTTCATACAAAAACAATCTAATTCCTTTTCTGAATCTATCAGTCTGTACTATCATTCCTTAGTTCAAGAATTTCTTTTGTCTTTTATATTTTTCTACCTGATTTCATGAAGGGGTTAATAAACCCAGTGGTATTGCTCAAATCCAGAAAATAGTTAACTTTTTTTGTTAATTTCTAATGATTAGAAATTTGTTTAAAAACCCTGGTTTTGGGAAAGATGATGAAATTTCCATTTCTTCCTTCATTAACCCAAGACTAAATCTTTTGTTTGAAAGCATAAAGCTTATTAGTGGATGTCAAAGTATTATCTTTCCCTATCTTTCAGAATTCATTTAGAATTTCAAATATATCAGGTAGATAAGACAATTCTGGGCACCAAAGTCCATTATGTCAAATTTTGAAAAGTTTTGTATTATCCAGAAGAGATATTTTATACATTTTGTCTTTTAGTTAATAGGTATGACATAACAAACGCTCCCCTTGACAGCCAATGAATTTCAGTGTGGAAAAGAAGTGTTTTATTTTTAAAACCCATTTCATCACACATTTTTGAAAATGTAGTTTAGAAGGCCCACTCTTGATAAAATTTACTGTCATTACAATGTCATTCATAATAGTTTACAACTCCAGATTTATTGTTTTGGAAACTAAAGTCTTGTGATGTTTAAAAAGAAAAGAAAAGATCAGGTATCAAAACCATTCATTTCACCAGTCATAGATGGGGCTACATCTGTTCAGATACCAACATAATTTTTGCAAGGTAAGTTTATGGGCGTCTTGTAATCATTCAAAACTTTAGAAATATCTTTATCATGAGTAGTTCCTGGAATTTCTTTGTGAAATGGATGAAATGAGCAAATACCAACAAATTTACTGACACGATTCATCAATCTGTATAATGTTGCAGTAATGCTCCAAGTTTAACTAAAACCATTGGCAAACAAAATTTACACATGCAAATGATGGGTCGTCATTGTTAGTAGAGGTGGATGGAAATGGAATAAAATTCAATAAGGCGATATTTTCCCATTTTTATATATAACTGACTGTTTAACAAAGGAGAGAAAATACACTAGTATGCATGTAAAAGAAATATATTAAAATTTAATAATTAGGAACTGTGTGAGTGAAACATGTGTGTATGAAAGAGTTCAGCCACTCAGGGAAAGATATCCCCAAGCCTGAGATAAGGTCATGGTGCATACTAGAAGGAAAAGAGAAAGAAGACAATTAGTGTCCCACTTTTATAACTGTTTAATTGTGCCACCTAATATACAGTTCGACTTCTTTAATCTGACACCCTTGGGATGACACCATTGCCAGACCATAAAAATCCTATGTAAACATAGTCTTGCCAGCTCATTCTACATATATATTGCTTTTTTATCAAATGTAGAACAAAGCTTAAAACAGGAAATAAAACAATCATTAATGCTTCTAAACAAGGTTTTTATTAATTTATGCAATACAAAGTCTTAAAAAAATGCTTAAAACTCAAAAATAATTTATACTTACTATCCTGATGGGTAAATATGCAGCTATATATAATAAATGAGCAAGACCGTATCACCAAAACACTCTGCTGTTGTCAGCTGCTGAAGAAAGTTGTAAACAATGTGTGCTGCTGCTCTTGTAGCCACTCAACTTATTAACAGTGGTTGATTAAAAAAAAGTACCTGACCAGGAGTTGTCAGATTAAAGAGGTTGAACTGTACAATGTGTCATTCAGCATATTTTGTACATTAGCTTTGATATCTTCACATAAATCTGTCATATTCCTGGATATTTTATTTCATTTTCATATACTAGGCCATTGTTCATACAACTGCTTTGTAAGCCAGTGGAATTAAATGTTCTGCAACTGTGGGTGGTTTAATTTCTTTTGAAATAGGTTCAGCAATTATATAATACTTTCTTTTACTTTATTTGTAACTAGGAACATTTTAATGAAGTTAGTACTAGTTCTATTTTTTTTTTTTTACATTTTAACAAACCCCTTAAATACTCAGTAAACTTGTTATTAAATTGAAACTTAGAATAGACTATGCTTTCATTTGACAATTTCTCATTACATTATAATGCATCTTGAGCTCATTTCCTTTACATCTCCACACCAAGTAAAATCCATTGATAAATAATTTTCACTAGTCTGATGGTCTAGATCAGATACGTTCATACATATTTTCATATTGAACAGATTTGGGATTTGAATGTTCCTCCTGTTTGTTTCAAATATATTACATTTTTACTGTCTTTCCTCTTGATAAGAAATTTATTCATTTGTGTTAAGA